GAGAAATACGGGACCCTGAGCATGGGCTGCCGGACACTCTTGGAATCAGGAGACTGAGTTACATGGCTTGACATGACAAGTTACATGGCTTGACTTAGTTCAGTTTGTCTGAATTATGGAAAATGTGTAACAAACCTGCTTGTCTGTGCTAAAGAAAGCTGTTCCGAGGCTATTTTAATTGATCTTCAATTAAGCAGCTGAAGTGCAGGCACTTTCCCCTTTTCCCCCAAAATGCATGATGTGTTTGCAGCTCACCATGCAGCTTTGAACACACCCAGGCAGAGTGTTTGTGGTGGTACTGGGAAGGCTGCTGGGCTCCCAGCCGTCCATCTCGAGACTGCTCAGTACACCATGTTGATGTGAATGTTGGACTGTAACAGACATGCTCTTCAGTTCTAGAAACTGAAGCCTGGCACACACACAGCACAGATGGCCTTTCCAGATGTCACGTTGTGAAGGTTCAGCATTCTCTGTGATACCCACTAGGAGCCACAAACTGCTGTAGATTAACTCCTTCCCTTTCAGGCATTCCAGTGTGGACATTTATGTTTAAAAACAGACCTAACACTAGTAAATGGATCTGTGTGTGACTGTCACAAAAAGCGGACTGGAGGGGAGTCTTGGAATGATTTTGGTCTTAGAATACTGGAAATGATTCTTGAGAGGAAAATGCACTCACAGGTGCAGTATTGTTTTTAGTTTCTGGCTGTCTCGCATTAGCCTGTAACCTTTGGGGTTTTTTTCTTTAGGTGAAGCATGTCAGTCTTTAGATGAAGAAACACTGGAAGCTATGGCAAAACACGAGACTGAAGATGACAAGATTTTCCAGATGTTTAAAGAACGAATAGCTGTTGAACCAGAGCAGGTCAGAAGATGGGGCAGCTGTAGAGCTTAAGAGTTTCTGGCCCAGCATCGTGCTGCACCTGGACAATGTTTCACTGCCTTCTGTACCTATCGTTAGATACGGGCCCCCTCATCCTTCCCACACCTTAACCCTCATGAAGCATTCCCTCATCTTCCTTATGGGGAGAACTTGATTCATGCTGAAGTAAGAGTTTAGCACCTACTCACCTGTCTAAAACAGAAGTTGGTCAGGATGACAAGGCACGGGGGGGTGAAGCCAACGTTGGCAGGGTTGGGACCTGCCATCCTGTGAGGTGGTTTAACCAAAGGAGGTAGTGAGCCACTGCACCCTTCCCCAGCCTTTGGCCCTGTTGGCTTCCCTTCTCAGCTGAAGCAAAACTGCAGGGAAGAGCTCTGTCACTGTCACCAGCTGCATGGAGGGGTGGTTTGGATTTTTTTTTAAGGTTGAAGAAATTAGTGATGGCTCTAAAATGTCAACTGTTTAAACCAGAAATCTCCCCCCATGCTATTGCTTGCTAACACAAGAGGCTGAAAAAAAGCCTCATTGTCAAATAGAAACATGTCTCCCTTCCATTCAGAGGAAACAGGCCTAAATCCATGAACATGGTGGAGAAGGAAGATATCTCTGTGTTTTACCTGGGGTTAGCTGAGGGGTTAAGGTGTACACCCAGAAAGTAGGAGACTTTGTTCCCTCCTCTACTTGGAGTAGATGCATCACTCCTACCATCCCCATCTTGACTGATCTTTGATAATGCCTGATTTCCTGTATAAATCCTTAGTAACAGAACAACAAAGGATATGAATGTCTGAAAGTACCTTCTCCTTGGACATCAGGAGAGTCCCCTTCATTTAGGTGCAGAATTGCTAACAGGAAGAGCTGGGTTGCGTTCCTGACTTTTCTGCACACTTGTGTATGCTAATTATCAATCTGCTCTTCCTTTGTCCCAAGACTATAATATACATGACCTCACACTTCTGCATCCCTTAATGAGAATCATAAGAGCAGTACAAATCATTGCAGTTTATCCCTGGTTCATTGAAAAAAAAGATGTATGAATACTTCCATCATTCAGTTGGTTAAGAAAATTTATATAAAGGGCATGTCTTATTTAAAGTACCACATTTACAACTGATAGACTTTGCCATGGGTATTACTTAAAGGAAATGACCTTTTTTGCACCATCTTACAGCTTTGTCAGTAAGTATCACTTCTATATCAAGATGAAAAGACAGCCTCAAGAGCTTAACTTCTGCTCTATTTCAGATTATTAGATACTGCAGAGAAGGAGAAGGCCCAATCTGGGTAGCAGGTGAAAATATACCTAAAGAAAAAGATATCCCAAATTGCTTATGTGGTGCCAAAAGGATTTTTGAATTCCAGGTATGTAGATCCATTTACAGATAATTAACAGAATCTAACTGTATAGGTGTTGACTTGTAGTTAGAGTGGGGTGGTTGCAGTTGCTACAAGCTAACTACGTTAAATGGTACAGAGCCCTCATTTACTACTGTAACTGCTTTTTCGTTGAAGACTTCCACATACAGTAGGTAGGTTCCCATCTGATAATTTGCACCATCTATAAAATGGAGCACTGGTGAATATGGAGCCACCTCTTAAGTCATAGGAGTCTGGTATTGTGTATTAAAAAAGAAAAAAGCTTTCCTGATGTGACTTAGAAATACATCTGGCTGGAAACACTCAGCTGTATAGTTCTGAATGCTGAACGTGTATATTTGGTGAATACACTTAATGTAGTGCAAAGAGAAAACAATTATGAAGGTAATTTCAAATGGAAGGAGGCTTGCAAGTCAGGCAGCACTTAGATAAAACTTCTGTGTCTCAAGTAAGTAGGGCCATGCCTTTGTTTCCCTGTGTATCTACTATACTGTGTTGGGAATTCCAAATTTAGTGTATTTGAGCTGCTCTGTTATCAAGTAGCTTTGATTGGGATTTTAGTGTAGGAGAACGTAAATAAAGGCAGCACTGGCTCTGAGAAGACATGCAGGGAGAGGCTAGAGACCTGTGGTCTACCTCTAAACCTTTGTTTTTCCTTTATAAAAGATTATGCCACAGCTCCTGAACCACCTTCAGGTTGACAGCCTTGGAGAGAGCATTGACTGGGGAACACTGGTGGTGTACACCTGTGCTAACAACTGCGGTGAGGAAAATAAATACATGGAGGAGTTCATATGGAAACAAGACTTCTCTGCAGCCTCTGTTTGCCTTCCCTCAGGTTACAAAGCCAAATCTTCTAAATAGAATACTTGCCTTGTTTCAGTGCATCTGTGCTTTGCAGACAGATTGAACTACAGTTGCTGATGGCTGTGGATCTTTTGACTGATAGAAACTAAAAGTAATACCTTGACAGCCTCTCTCTTGCACTCCACGGGAGCTTTTACTTCAACCTAGTAATGAAGCCAGATGCATTTGTTCGGCAAGTTCAAATCTCAGTTCTGAACGTTTAAATAAAGATGAAATATTTTTGGATTGGTCAAAGTATCTTTTATTCTGACTGGATTTCAAGAACTTAGGTTGTTGTCTGCCAGGATTTTCTTTGTGCTACTCAAAAATTAACATTCATTCACAGAGAGAAGCAGACTACTGTAAGATCCCTGGCATGCTTATGCTCAGGAGGAGTATGGAAGTCATTAACTAAGACAAAGATGTGTAGCCTTTCACTACACGATGTAAATGTGCTTCTCTTTCTCAGAAAGTACACCGAATGTAACTTGGCAGTTATTACATGTTGTGATTGAGTGCTTATTCAAGGTAAAATGCACAAAAATTAAGTGTTTTATCAGACTTAAAACTATTAACTGAGCTAAACTATTTCTGTATGGGACTGTCTGTCTGATGCAGAAGCAGTTTAAACACAGCCAGCCTTATCAGAATGTGTCCGTGTTGTTACTTATTGCCTGTAGCAGCAGATTTTCAAGCGGAATGGTACCTTAAGTCTGCCATCTTTGGTGAAGATTAAAAGTAAGTGTCCTCTGCAGGGATTCTTTTGCTACTTGACTGCAATATAGCTGAGGCAAGAAAAAATGAAATTATAATACTGAAATTACTGTGGCAGCAGCTTTATGCCTTTGGCTATAGCTATAGTTGCAGAAAAGATGGGCTGGGGCAGGGGGAGAGGGTAGAGTTGGGGGGTGGGGTGGTTTTTCTATAGAATTTACTGCATTTAGGTATTCCCTCGTCCTGCCCAAACCATTCCTGCAAAAGCATGGACAGCTATGTTCAAGAGCACTTAGTAACATTCACTAGCTCACAACAGTGTGGCACTAGAGGTGATACAGGGTTTGGCTATTTTGAACTTACCCTGGCAAAGCTACATTATTAAACAGCACCTTTCTGGTAAGATCTGTGAAACCAATTATTAAAACACCTGGAGAAACAGTTGTGTACACTGCTGTGGGGGGAGTAGTTCTAGAAGACTATGGATTAAGGTCCACTAGGATTTGCAAGCAGCAGTAGCAAAGCCAACCAAAACTTCATTTTGTCTGGAATATAACACCAACTTAGTAAACAAAGAGACCATGGTTACATTTGGGTTAGTTTTAGGTAAAAGCTGTTGAAAGAATATGCAAGTCATAGAAAGGAGGTTACTATTACTGGAAATTTACTGGAGAAAAAGTTTATTTTTTAGTTCTCAGCCTATAAGCTTCAAGCACAGTTCAGAGAGAAGATCATGTACATACTGACTAGTCTTTGACATTGTACAGGAACACTAATGTAGTGAGGCTGTCATAGTTGGTAAAATACAAAAGTATTTTAAAGAAATTCTGGAAGCTAAGCAGGCATTTTTGTTCAATTCAGTCAAGTGTAGCTATTTAAGACTTGCATAAATCCCATGTGTTGAAGATAAGGCAACACATACTGGAACACACACTTCTTCAACCAGTCATCTCTTGCTTTAGCATATTAGAAATATTCAAGCTAGACCTTGCCAAGGATGTAACTGCTGGTAAGCAAGCCAGAGCATTGTGAAGACTCTCAAAATGACAGGTCACTTGGAGTAGTGTATGTGCTAGTGAAAGATCCAGGTTAAATTAAATAAAAAAATCCCCTGAAACAGTTTGCAATGTATTTCACTCTACCAGCTGGGTAATTTTAAAATTCATTAAGACAGTTCCCATAGTTGTATAAACAGGGTTTATTGTACATGTGGAGCTGAAGGAGGAAAGAGAAGGAAGGTATATATTATATAATATGTACAGTGAGCCATTTTCATTAATAAATTTATTCTGTCTTGCTTAATACTGGATAAAGGGAATGTGTCTGGCACCAAAGAAATTTAAAATTGGAAGAAATTTAAAAGGTTACGTTCTTAAAATTATAAAAACCATGTCTTATGGAAGGAAGTTAGAACATATATACATGGCAATTTAAGTGGTTTACACGCTGAGTGACACAGTCGTATTTGTCTTTAAACCAACTTATGGATTTCCTATTAATAGAACTGGCATTAAAACTATTTAAAAGCTAGAATATAAATAAACTTGGAGGGACTGCCCCAGGAACAGCCCAGTAAAGCAACTCACAGTAACTCAGTAGACATAATCAAGAATACAGTTCCCCTTGAGCATCAGGGAAAGTAGGCACTAACTGGGAAATAGTCCAAGTCCTGGTGTTGCAGCTTCAGTGGAAGTCCATCTCTTGTTACTGCCGTGCCATACACAATACCTTGTAAAATATACCCCTGATTTCTCCGAAAGATGCAGAAACTGTTACGTTGTCTTTCTGAATCCCTTTAAAATAGGATAGATGTTTTCAAATGCTTCATAGATTTCTGCTCGTACTTTAGCACCTAGAAGGAGAGGGGGAACCAAGTTAGCTTGTATCTTTCACCAAATAATTTTAGCTTTGAGAATGTTTATTTGTACACAACTATATAAAACTGATGCATATCCATAAGTCCCTGGTTTTACTAGATCTTTGTTTGTAACACACATTACATATAGAGCATGTAATACCATCCTTCTCACTGTTTATGCTGATAAATGGCAAAGCTTTCATTAGCATCTCTGTGCGCATCCTGCATTTGCAAACAGGATTCTTCCATGCACAACTTCCACAGGAGACCCAACTACAAAGCGCAGCCCACAGGACATTGCTGCAAAAAGACTCCACTGGTGGAACTTTTTTTTTTTTTTTTAGAGTGTGAAACCTGGGGAAGCAAGCTCTGGCTGTGAAGACCACTGCAGAGGCCTGCCACTGGCCACACTGCAGGGACATGCTCCTTTTTCCTGAGAGTCTTGTGGGTTTTCTTCCTCCATTGTGAGATTCAGAATGAGGGGAAAAGGAAGGGTGGAGGTGGACTGCTTGAGGTTGAGGTGGTCCTACAGCATGGCTATCTTTCCTTCTTTGGCTGCCATATCAAAGGAGAATGGCAGCAGACTCTAGCCAAGCTGTCAAAGAACACTGAGTGCAGTCATAAACATCCAACCCAGAGAAATGGACTTTCAGATTTGCCAGAAACACTATGTGCACTCTTACAGTTTTTTGGGCACTTGAATGCTTAATGAGGATTCATGACTGCTGTTTATATGAATTTAGCCAAACGCATCTTTTGGTTTGTGCATTCTCATCCACAGAATGCTGTACTATCTGTTCTTTCTCAGTACTGTCACCTCAAAAGGAAATAACCTATATATCTCTCGGTATCGTGTGTTCTCTGTAATACAGTCTAACCTACTGGAGTAAGATAATGTCTTCTCTTACCAGTTAAAACCACTTTTCCAGAAACAAAAATAAGCAGAACAATTCTTGGCTTGATCATTCTGTAGATTAAGCCAGGAAACAATTCTGGCTCGTAGCTGTAAGAGAAAAGAGTGACAGTGTTCAGACATGCTTGCACACACATGTTCCAGTCTGTCATCTGCAGGAATGGGCAGAGCAGATGGGGACTTCACTGAAACCTGGGAGAACACAGCAGGGATCATGTTGATGAGTTCCTACTGGGCAACCTCAGTTAAACCTGAGGCAGAGCAGTGACAGAAACAAAGATGCAGGTTTCCCTCTGGTGCAAAGGAATAATCTGAGCAGATGCCACTCTCTAAGACAGTCAATATGCAACAAGAATGAAACATAAGCCTTTTTTTTTTACCTGCTGAACTGCTGGTGTGTGAGTACCAATCCTTCTAATCTGATGGGGAATTTCACATCACAGCTACCCACCATGTTCTGAATCTTAAAATCCAAAAATTTTGCAGGAAAACCCAGTTTCTGAACAACTCTTGCATACTTCCTTGCTGCCAGTCTGGATTGCTCTTCACTGAAGTGAGAAAAGGATAACCATATTATTTCCTCAGTTAAGTATTACTCAAAGCAAATACCATTAAACCACAAATATGTAACTGGGAAAAAAAACAATCTGTGTTGAGGGGGAGGGGAGCGTCACATGCAAAATTTTTACATCCAAAATTAACAACCGGCACTGGTTTGCATGCTGATTTTCGTATTAGGGTGCAGACAGTCACTGTTCATTGAGGCAGAAAACAGCATTATAAATCCACACATTTCACACTCTTAAAATACTGATCCAGTCTTCTAATGGGATTTGAAAACTGTTACTTAAATATTCAAAGTAGAACAACTTTGAACTACTACTGCTTGAAAATATGCGTTTCCAGAAGAATCTGTGAACTGCCAAAACACTCCATTCATCCCAGGCTTTCAAATATGCGTTTAACACAGTGTGTTATTGCAGTTTGCTTCAGTTTTGTAAACAGCTCAGGATATAGTTGTTTCTAACACAGAATAAGACAACTTGAAATTCAAGTATCACCAGGCAGAGAAAGTGTTTCCTGTACAGCTCTATTCATTCATCTCTGCTAATTAGCTTATTGTTTCTGCATTCCTAACGGATTTCTTCAGAGCAGTATTTCTGTTCTGCCCACTGGAGTTAAGCTTATGTTTAGTTTTCAATTCTTATGCTTCAGTGGTAATGTTAAGAGATCAGACTACATGGAGCAGAGACTTGGAGCTGTTGGTCTGTGATGAATTAAACAATTCAAATACAAAAATCACTCTTCTGCCACCAGCCCTACAGCTGACGCAGTTCCACTGCGGAATCACTGCAATTTTTAAACTAGAAAAATTTGCTAACTGCAAAGCCAAAGAAGTGAATGCAACAACCTCCACAAACCAGTTCAGACTGTATGAAAGAGCCTCAGAAATGGAACTACCATTTCCCCCTTTCATGAAGCCCTTTCAGCCATGAAAGGACATTTTGTGTGGCAATGTGTATGAGTCTATTTGAAATAGCTAGGAAGCAAGCTCAGTCACACCTGCACAACTTTGTTGTATATATACAAGTACTTATACAAATGATAGTATTTCTAAAGCACCATGGTACAAGAGAAAAGACAGCCTAAATTAGTTTACTTGTAATGCCTAAACATACCTTTTTGCTCCTGTGCAAACCATTTTTCCAGAGCTGAATATAAGTGCAGTAGTACGTGGCTCTCTTATTCTCATAATAACAGCAGCAAAACGCTGAAATGCGAGTGTTGAGACTATTAGTGATACACTGATGTGACCATTATATTAAAGCTAAATTTGCATAATCTAAGTAGCACGTTACACTGCATTGCCAAGAAATACTAAGTTCAAACATACTTACGGATCACTCAAAATTTACTTGAAATGCTTAAATCATAAGTAGCTTCAAACACAAACGAGAGGCAGAGTCAGACACAAAAAATATTTACTATTGCATTCCTATTTTACTAAGCTCATCTCTCATTAAGGTATATGCAACATATAAATAATGTTAACATTTGCAACAGAGCAATAGAGACAATCTTAAAAATAAATCAAAATTTCCTCCACATCTCCTGAAATCAGATCTGTTATAAGCAGGATGGAAGACTATCTGCAAATATTTTATGATCTATTTTGTTTCTGTGTCTTAAAAAAAAGGCCAGTGTGAAATACCAGCAAACAGAACAAGCTGGAGATCAAAGTTCTGTGTAAACGAAAGCCACCTCAGCCACCACAGGAGAACACAGCAGCCTGGTTAGCTCTAGCTGTTTATTCCAAGTGCTGTAATATCTCTGCCTGCATTTCCAAACATTCTTAAACTCTTTGAAGCAAGAGATACTGGAAACTGATGTGGACACACCCCTGTTTGTCTGTTATATTTAACTTGGACCAGCTCACCATGCAGCCCCGTAAGCTGTTCTGCTGACACAACCAAGGTGGTAGCGTGGGTTACCTACCAGCACATTTGTCAAAATATGGCTGAAATAATACAGCCAAGCAACATCTTTGATAGATGAATGTACTGACTGAATGTCAAGAGCATGTTACATAACCCTTCTGTCTCTCTGCTGTGGAAAACAGCATTTTGTATTGGTTATTCTAGCCTACAAGTTTTATAGCCACCTACCCCTACCTTAAATTACCATAGCATGTTCAGATTTTTTGCTATGCTAATATCTTACATGCAATTATCCAACAGTATTGCTGATACAAACTTACAGTAACAGTTATTTATCACATATGCCTGCCCACATGCTTTAATCTTCCAGAGTAGAGTTTAGATAAACTGCAGCAAAATCCAAAATACTAAAACAAAGCCATCCACCCACAGCTGAGGAAAACCGAAGCCTTCCCAAGAAGAGTCAATTCAATTCCATACACAACATCTAAACTTTTATTAGAAATAGTGTCCAACTACCATGGTTGCAAAGAGGAGCCACCCAAAAGAAAAATTAAGTGACTTAATTTTCTTGAATCAACACTCCAGGTCCTCTGCTGTTGCTCAGTTTTCAAAGACAGAAAAATCCCTCTGTTTAACAAACTACTCTTTAGAATCAGCAGGCAACTTAGTAGTCAGCAAACAAACAAAATAATCCCAACAACTGAATTTTGCCGTTCCACCAAACCTAGCCATCAGAAGTAAGGAGGTGCCATGAGTACAGGGGGAAAACACAAAGGCACAGAGCTCAGAGGGGAAGTGAGACTGTAAAACATGAGCGAGCGTGTTGGGACCACAGAAATTCCAGGGGAGCAGCCCAGTGGAAGAAGCCACAACCACGGCCCTGACAGGAGCCCAGGAGCTGAATTCTTCCTTCCTTTCTCCTTGCTGGGAGACAGGAAACAAGACTTCATCATCAGACATTTTACAATAATATGAAAAAGTAATCTTCTGAGCACCACAAAACAAACATATCCAGATGAACAGTGGCAGAGGCCAGCTCAACAAGCAATCTGGCCAGTGTATGACACTGTTGGTTAGGTTCTTCCTAAATGTGTGCTGTGTTCTGTCTAAATCTACCAAATTACAACGTGGTGTAACACACAGCCACACCAGTATTAAAATGTTTTTTACCAGTTTGACAGAATATTGTAAGTCTGTGACAGATTTCTTTTTTAACTATAGTACAAAAATGCACCTACAGCAGGAAGGTTCTTCCATCTATTACAGCAAAGTACACCCACAACCTGTACCTTTGACATAGGTTTTATAAGATAAATACCTTTCTCTTACCTTGGGATTATATTCAGCATTTCGGGCACGAAGAGCAATAGTTTTTAGGTCAAGTTTGCAACCAAGATTCACTGTGGACACAATATTCCTGAAGACAGTTCAGAGAAATACATTAAAAATACAGTAAAGAATTAATGTGTCTTCATTTTTAACCAAGCTTGATTCTTACAGATAGGTATCTATTTTTTATTTGTTTCTCCAAGTGGGTCTGAATGACATCCTTCCTACTGATAGCAGTACTGAACAGTGTTTTGGCTCAGGAACCTTCTTTTGTAGGGCAGTAGCTCCTAAGGCATGACTGCTGATTCCTCATAATCTGCCAGCTCTTATGAAGAGTGTCTCATGAGAAGAATCTCTATTTGAGTTTACCAGGAAGAATTCTTGATGTTAAGGGCCCCCACCACAATCAGGGAAGTGGCTGGAGACAGGAGAAGGTAAGGTAGCAATAGTACAGTCTGGAACTTTCCTTGGTATGGGAAGAAGGGTTGCATGACTAAGTGGTAACAACCTGGGAAGTATACCCATTGCTAGGCAATAGGGTAGGAGGTCTCTAGAAAGTTTAACAGAAGCTCCTAGATGCAAAATTTAACTGGGAACTTGTTTTCTAGGAAAACCCTAAGATATAAAGGTCTTTAATGGGGAAAAAATAAATATGAGGAACTATTCTTTCAGTGACAAATTCACATTATCAACCACTTCTCTTTGGGCCTTGCATAAATGACTGTAGAAGTCTCTTTAAACTAAAGTCCAGTAAAAGTACTTTCACACTTAAACCCAGAATTAGTTCTAGCTTTTTCCCCTCTCATTACAAACTCAGCTATAGCCATGAACTAGAAAAGGGGACATAGAGTATTAAGTACAACTCAGCTCTAGCTCCTAGACTAGTGACTGGTTTATTCCCCTCTACCCTTCCAATTACTTTCAGCTGTGACAGTTCCTGTCTTCTGCTTCAATATCTCACTAACAAAGTTCTATGCACAGTGAAGTGGAGCTATTTGCTTTTCTGTGAACATGTTGCAAGTATCCGGTAAAGTACAAATGAGAATGTTTCCAAGTATGCATATTTTGAAATACCAGATTATCAACCCAGACTATTTCATAGCTAAAGCATAATGAACTCCTAAAGTGCACAGAGGAGTTGAAAGCTACAATTGTGCTAAATGAAGACACAGACAACATCCTCCACTGATATGCTTAAAAGAGGTATGTTGACAAATCACTAAGAAACGGTTTATATTACTAAGTGGTTTAGTAATAAAGCTAAGCTAAAAAAAAAGCAAAAAATTACTCATATTGATAGAGGAGTCACATAAATTCTCAGGACCTCCCTTCCCACCGAGATGCAGCACCCAATTCCTGATGTGGCTTTGGTCCCAAGCCTTTAAAGGGCTATCTGAGAAAGAACATGCTGCACTAACACACAGGGCACTCACTGTAGTTGTGGCACTATTCCAGAGCTCTCAGATGCTGGTGTTGCAGGAGTTATTGGAGTCATTGGAGTCATTGGAGAGGGGTAGAGAGGTGTGGTTCCCGGCAAAGGGGCTGTGGTAAGAGTCTGTGAGTGGAAGAGCTGAGGAGTTTGACCAGATGTTCCCTGTGTTGCTTGCTGTGATGTAGATTGCTGCGCTGCCTGTTGCTGCTGCTGCTGCTGCTGCCGCTGCTGTTCCTCTAGAATAGACAGACTATTGGTGCTCTGGACAGGCTGTGGTGTCAGTCCTGTGCCATACGGCATCATTGGGCTAAAAATTGGAAGTCCTGGAGTCATTGCACCCTACAGAAGCACGAAACAAAAACAACAGATCCCGTTGACACCATGTTGGTTTTAAGAAAAAAAAAGGTTTTCAGGAGGAGTCTAAAAATAAACCAATGCAAGTTACTCACATCAAACCTGAGGCATGTAGTAGTAACTAGTTACAACCAGAAAGTTCCTGAAACGCAGTTATTTTACAGAATAACATTATTTCTAGGGATCTGTCAGTTCTAGCATTGTTCATCTCAAGCTAGTGATGCAACATGCTTCTCACACTACCTTGCCATCATGCTTCAACTCTGACCCACAATTTAACTCACGATTATTACAACAAAGACTGTGCCCATCCTATCAAATGCATTCATAGCACAGTGTCACTCCATTATGTATGTTAATTTAAAGAACAACCACCAAAATTAAATTATTCTTTCCAACTTGTCAGTCATGTTTCAACTCAAAAGAACCCTATATATCTCATGTTACTTACACCTCTGGACATACAAACTGATGGGTTCAAAATTCTGCTTTATACTAGTATTATTCAATACCTGGTACAACTTTTCAGATGTGCAAACAAAAAAAATGTGAAATTACATGCAAGAAACAGAAAACACTTTCACAAAGAAATTCAGATGATAGTTATGTATTAAATCATTCGTTTTTACCTGAGGGGAGGCTAAGCCTTGAGCATAGGGTGGCAAGCTGTTGTTCTGATCCATTATTCCAGTTATTCTTTGGTATGTCCAGAAGTATCTTCTTCAATTAGTTTAAATTAACTTCAAATCCTAGAGGGTTTTTAGCCCTTTAAAACATTCCAGCAAAGTAGCTTTTTAGGCCAAGCTGAAAATGTTAGGAAGACATGAGCTCCAGAGAAATGTGTGTTATGAGTCTAGGATACCAATTAAAACCTGAAAAGAGAAAAAGTAGTATTTTGAGTATAATGTCTAAACACAAAACCAAAGAAACTATCAGCTGCCAAGTCACAAAAGAGACACCCACGTACAAATACATATAAGAACATTTACACATGCACACACACAAGCACAATCCATAAATATAACGTTTTTCGGGCACATTCTATAGCAACTTTGCAGTGTGCTTCTGCTGAAATCCCTGACACATGAGCAGGCCTCTGTCTAACTGAACCCTCCTCCGCAAACAACTCAAGCTGTTAATGCCCATTCTTGTCCAAGATTTGCTTTAGCCAGAAAAGCACTGATGTTTTTAGAATTTAGTTCCCCCGACTATGAACCAACAAGCTTACTGACACATTGCTTGGAAGTCTCTTCCCAGGAATTTTAAGGCTCGGGCTTACAAAACAGAAATATGTTTTCTTCCATAGGAAAAGCATCACTGATCAAATCCAAACTAGGAAACCCTCTTCCATCCACTTCCATAAGATAAAGCACTAACAGCTTTCAAACAATAATGACATGCACTTTATGAAGAAAAAAATATGTGAAAGCCAATTTCAGGCACACAAGTGAAATGTACACGATTTTTTTATCACTTTTTAACTATACCTCTATTGCTGTGTTACAGAAATGAACAACACAAGTGGAGAATTTAAATGCTACACCTTGAAATAAAATATTTTTCCATCAATTTACAGTTTTCTTAACTAGACCTATTGCCCAGAAATAGTCATGGTCATTATTAGGCCAGAGATAGACCACCTCAAAATTTGAAGAAAGCCTACACTTTCTTTTTTTTTGGTGAGGTATGAGAGCTCAGAACTACATTAATATACTGCAGCTGAAAACCGTGCTTTCTACCCCATCATAATATGATATTATCATCTTTACCCTCACCAAAGGTATCAAACAGAGCATCCAGGTTTTATAACCTAGAGCAGGAGTAAACAGAAGCCTGAACATCACCCTGTTAAAATAAACTCCTCGACAACCCGGCTGTTTAGTAGTAAGTCTAGATACCAGGCATGCCAGAACCCGCAGCCAGGACACTACCTACAAAGAGCTCCATCTTGTAACCATCTAACCGCGCCTCGCTCACAGATCCACCACAAGAGCTGGAGGTGGTGTTTGTCACGGGAACAGAGTCCAGGGGCAAGAGACCCCAGAGAAGGCCCGGCCCCTACCTCCGAGCCCGTTTCCAGGAGCTCTCCCGTAACACCCAGCAGCGCTCGACAAGAGCCAATTTGGGGGTGAGGTCACCCTTCCCGCCTCTCTGCGCCGTCCAGGTCCCCGCCCGCCCTCACACCGGCCCCAGCAGCGCGCAGACCCCCGCCAGCAGAGCCGCGCCACCGCCACGACCCCCCGGCCTGCCTGCACACCCTCACACGGGGCAGCGGTGACCGTTGCAGTTGCGTAGACGCCCGCGGCCACCCAGGCCCCGGCACCAACGGCCGCCGTTGACCCCGAGACGCGCCGGAGTCCCGCGAGCGGGAGCAGGTCCCTCACCGCTTCCCGCGCCGCCCCTCGCGGCGCAGGCCGGCGGGGAGGGCCGCGGCGCCGGCGGGGAGATGCAGACCAAGCCCGGCCCAGCGCAGCGGCCCCCACCCTCCAGGCCCGGCCCAGTGGCCCTGGCACCCGTCGTCTTCTACCCCCGCCAGCGGGACGAGCGGCGGCCAAAGGAGAGGCAGGCGCGGCGCGGTCTAGTACCTGCCGCTCCCGGCGCCACCCTGCCGCCGCCGCACAGCGCCCGCGGGACACAAGCTGCCGTCGGCGCGTGTCGAGCGCGTCACTTCCTCCGAGCGCCACCACCGCCTTACCCGCCGCCATCTTCAGTGAGGGCGAGGGGGGGCCATGTGCTGGGGACGGGGGAGCGGGGCTGGCTGGCGCCTTTCCTTGGCCTGGCAGGGGAGGGCAGGGCAGGGCTGGGCTGTCGTTCCCCCTCGCGGCTCCGGTGCCAGGCCTGACCACAGGCTCCTGCGCTGGAAGGGTGTGCCCCATTTTCTAGCTTTACAGATCGCTGCCTCTTGCTCTCTGCCGCAGTCGCGCGCCTCGCGGCGCCACTGCTCGCTGTGCACTGCTCCGATGGAGACTTCAGCAACAGCAGCTCTTCCTCCCGGGCAGGGGGATACGCTTCTCCTCCAGAGGAGGACCGCACGCATCTCTCTCTGCTCCCTCGGCACCATTTGGAGCTTTTAAGCCCTTCCTGCTTGTTTCCGTCGGTGTCATGGTGCCTGGCACCGCGCCCATAGGCCTCCTCACGGACCTCCTGTGCTTTCTGACCCTTGCTCTCCAGTGTTTCTCAAGGCGCTCCCCTAGTTCCAGCACAGGAGACACGCTGCTCCTCATCTGCCCAAACACACGAGGCTCCTTGAACACCTCATCACAACTGTTGTCACCTCCGTGACTAGGCACTCGAAAGACGAGGGCTGACAGCGCTTGGACCAGGCGATAACCCTACCCAGGAGAGGCTGTGTGGGACCCGGCCCACGCGGCCCCCTTAAGCCGCCCGGCGGCAGGGAGCCCCCCTGCTCCCTCTGCGTGTCCTCCAGAGCAGACGAGAGGTGGCCGCCGCTGCCAACCTAGAGCGGTGTGTCACCACTTCCGCTTCCGGTGCCGCCATTTTGCCGTGAGACAGCAGCGAGCGGCGGCGTCGGGATGTTGTCTACTGTTGGTTATGAGGACTTCAGACCTGAGAGGGCTTACGAGCTCGGCGCGCCCGTGCAGCATCGCTTTTCGCCCTACACCTTTAACGGAGGGTGAGGAGCCGCAGGCGGGGGGTGAGGCGGGCTGTGGCACTTTTTTTCCCCGGGGGAAGGGGCCCTGAGGAGGGTGGCAGTAGACCTGGTCTTCCTTGTCTTGCTCTTGCTTCTCTCCTGCGTCTTTTGTCTCCCCTTACAAGTGCCTCTTGGTAGAGAAGGAGGGGTAGTGCCGGGGAGAGCTGGTCTCGCCCTTGCCCTGGGCAGAGCGTCCTGCGAGTTCTTGCAGCTCTTGGGCACGTTCTAGCTTGGCCCTATGGCTTCCTGAACTTCTGTGGGCTAAAATAAGCACCTTCCGTTCCCCATAGGGTTGTTTGTAAGTGGCTCAGGAAACACATGCACTGGTGGTATTACCAGCCTTTAAACCTGCAACTGGGTTGAAAACTGCCTTGTCGTAGCTGTTAAAGGTAGGTGATGTTTTACAGGCACTTGCAATGAGTTGGTGACAGGATCTGGCCAGGATAGTGTTATTTAGATTTTTTTAATTTCTTTTTTTTCTAATGCCTAATTGTCCTTTAGGACATTTGTTTGTTACTTAATGGTAGCACAACATGTGGCAATAGCAAAATGAGTTATTTGGAAATAAATAACATCGGATTTAAAAAGTGATGATAAATGTAATGATATTGATGTTCACTACTTGATTAGAGTGTTTTTGCTTGGAGAGGCAAACTGTTTTAGAAGGGTGCATCTTTCACTAGCAAGCATCTAAAATTACTAGTCCACAGAGTCTGTTTTTTGCACTGTATAGAAAACTGTTTTATCAAGTTTCCATACAGTATTTAGTTCAAGTAGCGAATCACATACATATATTTTCTTCAGTGTCTAGTATCTTCTTTCTCCAGTCTTGAGTCATGTTTGGGGATGTGCTTAGTGGGAAACAAGCAAGGAATATAAGATGTATGACAAAATGTGAGTCTGTGTATGGAACTACTATAAGGTGTATTCCTCTGGTGCCTAAGAAAATATTTGTGCTAAAAGTCATGATTATATGAATATTCTCCTTCAAGGACTGTACTGGCGATTGCTGGAGAAGACTTTTCTATAGTTGCCTCTGACACACGACTGAGTGAAGGTTATGCAATTCACTGCCGGGACAGTCCAAAATGCTACAGACTGTAAGTCCACATCTTGTAAGAATTGAAACATGGAGAGAGCTGTAGTGTTGAGCATGTCACCTGCCTGGAATGATCTGTTGCTTTCTTTAAGCAGAATTTTCAGGAAAAAAATGGTAGGAAATTGATTTTGGAGTTATGGGTGCTCTTGCTGTAATGCAAGATGTGATGTGATGTGGTGTTGTAAACACAGCCAGATTTCTTGTTTTATGCTGTTGAAGTTAGTTGATAACACAATATTTTTAGCATGATACAGGGTATTTAGCACGATGCTAAGCACATAAGCTTAGTAGGTTTCTTGTTTGGTTGGTATTTATTTATCTGTCTATCTGCTCTGGTTATACAGAAGTACTTTTGTCTTAACTGTAGCAAAACTTCATACTGTGGTAACTCATTCTGATTCATCAGGACAGCTGGTGTTGGTACACAAATGTGCCCACTGCTGCCAGTTGTGCTGTGCCTCTAGTCAATCATCTGGCACTTTGAAGAGGTGTTTGTTTTAGGAGAGGTAAACCTGTCAGTAGTTCCATTGTTGAACGTTTTATGCTCATTCTGTGTTTATCTCAACCCACCTAGATAGTATCCACATAGTTAAAAATAATGTTGTTTACATTCTTTTGACTGTAGCAGGTGCTTACCTAGGCTGCCATCAGCTGTGTAAATATTTTTTGGTTATGTTTGTATTTTGTTTTTTATTGATGATACAAGATCATGTGAACTTATATTTCTCCTGGCTAACTCCTTACTGTATCTTTGCCTCTGATTCTGTCCAGGTGGACATTACTGCAGTACAGTCTGTATACTGCACATGATGGCTTTGTGTAATTCTAGTGACAGGCTGAGAGAACATTTCAATTTAAACTTTTTGAATAACTGCTTTGTGTTAGTCTACAAGTGTGTGAATGTTTGTAGACTCACCAATTTACTAGAAATTAAATTACAAACATGCACTCCTGTAGTTAACGTTCATGCAACATTTGGAAACTGAGCAATGAACTGACCTTCTGTAATACAGCCGCAATCAGGTAACTTCTGTTTGGTGTCACAAAAAAAATACCTACAGCATCCATAGACATCGGTGAAGTCCTGCACTTAACAAATCCTGTCCAAGATGTAGGTTGCAGTTACCTTTCATAAAGTATTTGTTACTACTACATTTTAGACAACTGCTTTTGATAGCATTAGAGAACCTGAAAGTACATTTGATGTATTCATAGCAATCTACTGTGTAAGTAAGTGGCATGGTTCATATTAAATCTAAAATCACAACAAAATTTTGCCTTTTATAGAACAGACAAAACGGTCATTGGATGCACTGGTTTCCATGGTGACTGCCTTACCCTCACTAAAATCATTGAAGCAAGATTAAAGGTAGGTAACTATCTATCTTACTGGTTTTAGAATTTACATTGTTATTATCACATTTGAGACCAATAGTATGGTATGTTTTAAAATACAAGTTTTGTTGATTTTCTTCAAGCGTCTGTGTCACAACTGTGTTCTGGTGAAAGATCAGGCAGGGAAGGTAGATGCTCTATTCTTCCCAAGTGTAACGTCACAAATCGAAAGACTGGGAGATGTGGAGAGGAAAGTGTTAATGAGGCAACGTATATTCTTTGCAAAACTTTGGAGAAATGTTAATGTTAATTTGGGGCTTGTAAGAAAGCCGGTGTGTTTTCAGTCATCATGCTAGTTAATAATCTTGCGTAACACAAGACTTTTCTGTAGTGAGGTTGCAGAAATGTGATTTTGATTTAATGTTTGACTTTCTTCTTGAACATGCCATCCCACTTGCAGATGTACAAGCATTCCAATAACAAGACCATGACTACTGGAGCTATTGCAGCAATGCTGTCTACAATTCTGTATTCTCGGCGTTTCTTCCCTTACTATGTTTACAACATAATTGGTGGACTTGATGAAGAAGGTAGGACTTTAATTACAAAACAAGAAAAAGGGGCTAAATTCCTGTGGGTGAATAGCTATTCTTTTACGTCTTGGGTGGTGTACTGATGGAATAACAAAGTTTATGGTCCTATTCCTAACACCTGCCTTTAGGCATTACAGTACTTGGGTCAAATCCAAGTTATGCTTGTGACTTGTTACCTAATTTCTGCTGCTAACTGGATCTTCCCTTTCTGAAGGTCTGAAAGTCTAAAAACTATTATTTGATAACAATTGAAGTTTGTTAATCTCTCATACTTTATTGTAGACTGGAACAGTATAGCAGCTTCTGGATTTCTTAATTATGTCTTCAAAGGAGATGCTAGTATTAAAATTGTATATATCTTACTCAGGCCTCTGAGTGTGGTAGAAGCTACTAAATATGAAGATTTACTCCAGAGATGTGTTTCTACAGAGATGTCTTTAAATGTTAACTAACCTTTAATGAAATCATGACTTTTACGTGGAAGCTATAGTTTAACATACAGATCTTGTCGGACTACAGGGCTCTTGGCCAGTGATTTGGTTGAATTGCTAAAATACTCTGGTCTCTGCATTTGAGCCGAAGCTCAGAGGTGGTCTTGTTTACACAGTTTCTTCCTCAGTTTGTTGTTGCTACTAAGTTTCACTGCTTTCCCAGTCTTGCTAAGACATGTCTATGATATGTAGTCTGGAAAGGGATTAGTCTGTACTGTGTAATGGTAAATTTCAGATCATGAGGGTGCTGGAACAATTGATAAGAATCAGAGTGCAGATTTGTGTGCGTGGGCTTAATTTGGGTCTAGCAAAACTGTTTTGATTTAGTGTTACATTCTGGATCTCTGCTAGCTTTCTCAGGGCTGTGCAGCCACCTGTGCTGTGCTGCCAAGTGCCCTGGCCAGTTTATTAGATAGGGTGCAGCTCATCTGAATAGAAAAGCTGAGCTTGGCCAGGTACTGTGTTTTGGCTAGCATGTCCTCGTCAAACCCTAATGGCTTCAGAGCTGCAGTGCATCTGCATCTCTCATGTAAGCACAAGCTAATA